CAGAGTGAAAAGGAGAAAATTCAAAACAAATCTTCTCAGGCAATTACATTAATGTAATAATAATTACAGTAATACTAATTGTTTTATATATGTTATAAATGTTTTATACATGTTTTATAAATGTTATAAAATGTTATTCCCGTTTTACAGATGGGGAAGTTAACTTGCCCATCAGGTGGCACTAGTGGTAAAGAACCCGCCTGCCAATGCAGGAGATGTAAGAGATGCTGGTTAGATCTCTGGGTTGGGAAGAACCCCTGGAGAAGGGAATGGCAACCCACACCAGTATTCTTGCCTGGAGAATCCCATAGACAGAGGAGCCTGGTGGGATACGGTCCATGGGGTCACAAAGAGTCGGACACGACTGAAGCAACTTAGAACACACGGGGGTAGAGATTGAGACCCAGGTCTTTCTGATTCCAGAGTCTAGGCTCAGGACTTTAATAAGGTCCATCTTGCAGCAGGGCTTTTCTACAAGTTCAGGAAGGAGAGGGCACTGAGGAGGAAGCAGCCCTCGTCTCAGCTCCCTGTGAGGTGGGTACACACAAATACACACATTAATACTCTTAAGATGCCCCACTTCCTCTGCTGTCCTCAGTTACAAACCCACCCAGCTTGCACAGGTCCACAGACGGATGTCATGTTACTTACAGGGACAATGATCACCCCTATGGATAATTTAACCTGTATCTGAAGCTGCAACAGGAGTTTCCTTTTGATAGGATGTAGCCACAGCTAGATGATGAATTAACACTTAGTTTTGAAGGTGTCACGAAGACTTTAAGATTGAAAGTAATGAGTGAGACTGAATGCCTTTTAGCAGAATGACTTGTGACATTCAAATAAAGGTTCATCTTGTGAGATTCAAGCACACAGAGGAAGAAGAAATGACTGTAGAAAACAGTAAGGCACAAACAAATGGTGACAGCTCATAGAACTGGCTGCCCTGTTCGTCACCGGATCCATCCAACCTCGGTAGTCATGGCTCGGCTGCTGTTAGCCGTGTAGAGGTCTTCCACACAAACAGACATGAACCCCCAGGGATGTTCCTTGCTGAGCAGGCTGCAGGGAGAAGCAACCAGACCCTTCAGAACTCTTTTCCTCTCCTGTCATCCAAGTACCAACTCTTCTGAGTGTCTCCTGCCACCCCCCCTCCTTCTCCTCCCCTCCTGTTTCTCAAAGCCTCCTTATCCTCCTCCCCTCTCCATCAACCGACATAAAAGATCTGAGGGTGGGAGCCCGGAGAGCATGTTAGTTCCTGAGATTTTGAGAGAGTAAAGTTTCAGTGTCAATGTATCCACCTCCCCTCCTCCTTCTGAACTCTAGAGATATACTTAGATACACACAAAACACCCACTGGAACTTTTAAATGATGGGAAGAGATCCACAAGCCACCTGTGAAACAAAAGCTTGGTGCTTCATAGTCATGGGAACATACAGGTTGGAGAAGAGCTCATGTTTATTAATTAGGTCCACACATACCTACACAAGCAGGTGGCCCTTGCACAGAGATAGGAGTCCACACACACAGGCATCTTGACGATGCCACCTTGCTTCGCTGCCATCCTCCTCTCTTCCCACCGAGCTGTAGGTATTTACCACAGCTGCCTTGTGAGGTGCAACAGAAAGGCAGTCACTCCGCCCTTGGCTATGCCCTGGCTATGATTTATGGGTAAGGCACCTAACCCAGTTCTGGAATATGGAGATAGTAACCACCGTGCTAGGTGCTGTGAGGATGAAGGAGAATAATATATGCAGGGTCTTTGGCACAGCTTCTGGTGCTGACTTGCCTGATTCCTGAGCCTGTCTTCCCTACACGCATGCCTGGGCTGATGGTGTCTTCTGACACTTGGTCCCCACCCTGGGGACCCTGGTCTGACACTGGGAAGAGTGGGAACTAGTCTGGGACCTCGGATCTGTACCCGAGGACCCCAGCTCTCAGGTCACAGGTCTGCTGACCAGGGCCAGCCTGCAGGGCGCCGTGGAGCGCGGGGAGCCACGGGGTACTTGCGAGTGCCATAGGTCTTCTGCCCCTGGACCCGTGGGCGGTGGGCGGAGCGGGCCAGTGGAGGTGGGCAGAGCCTGGCGGTAAGTCGACTCAAGGCTGTGGGTGGCTTTCTCCTGTTGCTCAGTATCAGAAAGAGGCGGGGGAGGACATTCATTTTTTCCTAATTGCTAATTCCACCCATTGCTTCGATTAACTATCGATTGTGAAAAGCTGGTGGCTCCCCTTAAAGGCCAAGCTCGGCCCCCGCGCGCCACCGTGTCTGTCTCCCTGGACCCTTCGTGGGGGACCTCCTCCGCGTGTGCAGGGCAGCGATGGGCCAACGCTTCTGCACCCGCTCATCTAGCGACCTCGGGAATCGCAACCGCGAGCTGTGGTTTGAGTCCTGCCCGGCCACCCGCGGGGGCATTTTCTTCCTCGAGTGTCCTGTCACGCTCTCGGAGCCGGTCATCTGTTCCGCAGCGTCCCTGGAGCCGGGGGTTCGAGGACCCGGCCGGCTCTTGGAAAGTTATTTCAAAAAGCAGATGTGTTGCAACCCTCACTGCAGCAAACTACAGGACACAGATTTCCCGAACCTTGTCACTCCCCCGGCCCAACAACTCCCCATCCCCTGCCCCGGCCCGACGACCCGAGCCCTGCAGCGCGGAAAGCCACCCTCAAACGCACCTACTCTCCCTCCAGCGCCCAAATGCAATGGGGAGGAAACCCCAAAGCAAAGTCAGCGCGCAGAGTCGTCCCAGTCCCGGCCTGGAAAGGATCGGACTGTTGGGGATCGGCCTCCCGCCCGGCAGCTCCGAGAAATACTCTCGATTTCCCGCCCAGGCCTCCCCTCCTCGATGCCCCAGTGTTCCTGGCGGGGCTGCCCCGACCCCTCGTACCTGCGGCGGTCCCGGGCTCGCCCTCGCTCTGCTCGCCGGAATCTGAATCCATGCCGCCGGCTGGCGTTCACAGCCGTCCGCCCGTCCCCGGGGCACCCGGGGCCGGCGTCCGGACTCAGGCAGCCGCGTCGCACTCCGGCCGGGCAATGCGCGGCTCGGCAGAGGCCAGCGCGGCCCGTTGAGAGCCGGGAGGAGGGCGGGGAGCCGCGAGCTGGGAGGAGCAGGAGCGTCCGGCGCCCCGCGGGCTCCAGACTGGGGTTAAATACCCGGGGGAGGCGCCGCTCCTCCACCCGCGCTCCGCGTCTGGCACCCGCAGCCCTGGACTTGCGGAGCCGGGCGAGGTCGTGCGAGTTGGCGAGGCCGAACCCCTTCCCTTGGGGGTGGCCAAGTTTGGAGAATTCTTAAATGAAAAAACGCCTCTACCCAAGTTGGAAAAGGAGAGGTTCCGAGTGGGAATGCTGGGGCTGCCCGGGTTCGAGTCTGACTTCACAGTTCGGAGATCTTGGGCGAGTGACTTAACTTCTCTGTGCCTATTTCCTCACTTGGAAAATGGGGAAAATGAGAGTTCCCTTTTGTCCCGGATGGTGTGAGGGGAGTATATAAATCATGCGTGCGAGGGGCCACGAGCAGGGCCTGGTACCTAAGAGGAAGTAAACAGCGTGCGGCAGGTAAAACTAACGCCGGTGGCTCTTCTCCTGGCGTGGGTGCGGACGGCCGGCGGTGGTCTGGAGCCCTAGCTGCGGTCCAAGGCAGGACTCCCCCTCCTGCTGGCCAAGGAGCCAAGCCACTTCCAGGCACAGACTGGGGCAAGAATGGATTTAAAAACCTTTACTTTAACACAGAGTGCTAAACTTCCTCAATACCCTCCTCCTTCCACTTTCTAAAAGGAAAAAGAAAAAAAAGAGAGAAGCAGTCTATACTGATTTAGTAATTGAGACTAAACTGGGGGGAAATGCAAGGAGCACTAAGGCCTGAGGGGCTCCTTTGTTGTTAATTCCTGATTATCCACGCAGTCTTATTTTCTTCCTGAATTGTCTGTCAGCTCCAACACTTACATAACCTTAAGCCGGCTTCTCTACATGTAAAGTGTGGGCAGAGAACAGGGACACACTTTATTGACCTGAGCGAAATGAAATTGGAAACAGAGAAGTCTGTCCAAAAGAGCCATTTATTGTTTCCTGTGTGCTCTCCTTTTAATCTCTACAACGACCCAGTGAGGAATTTGAAAAAAATATTTTGTTTTGGAGGTAAAAAATGGTTGAAAGTTGGCAGTTTCGAAGAATTTAACTTAAAATGTTATCTCCGTTTTGAGATGTGGAAACAGTCTCTGAGCCAATGGGCTCAGGCTCAGTATGTGGGTGAGTTGGGCCTTGAAATCTGACCTGATGTCTGAACTTTCTACTGACTGCTAAGGTAGTGTCACAAGTGAGTTTGGCCTCTTGACTGCCTGGAGTCTGCCTCTTTTGGAGGTCTGGACTTTTCAGAGTGCAAATATAGTTCTCCTTTGGGTTCTCAGAAAACGTTTTCTGGATGGCGAAACTCATGGACTTAAGCTAGTAAGAGCTGGATGGATTTCCTTGGAAGGGTCTAAAGAACCCTCACTAGACGTAAGATCTTGGGCAAATGGCTTAACTTCCCTCAGTTTTCTCAGGTGATGGCATCTCCTTCATCGGGTGGTTGTTAAGGAGTGAGTGAAATAATGATTGTGGAAGCTAGTTAGTACCCAGTGCCTGGCACACAGTTCATGTTTGATAAATGGAAAGAACATTCTTAGATCTAATGGACCCCATTTAGAAAAACAAAATATTTTAAAATCACAATTTTAAGTGAAAAGAAAAAAAATCATAGCAGTCACAGTGATAAAAGTTGATACTCAAAAAACAAATAGCTGGGTCATTTTAAAAGTTTGGCATCATGGCTTTGTAGTCTTAAGGAAAAACAAGGATGATAGCATCAGAGAACAGAGCATATTGGATTGAAAAGTCATCCAGTTTCCTCTAAGGGCCATGCCTAAATTCAGCAATAGGAAATGTGAAACTTTCTCTGTCTCCCTAGACCTATTTTTCTGGCACTTGGTGGAAGCTCTTTTTGTTTTTCTTGTTTGTTTTAATGGACAGGTGATCTGGGTTGAAGACAGAAATACCACTGAGACATCTACACATCTTAGCGCTAACAGGGAAACTCACTATTGGAACTTGATCAACAGTAAACAAAGCATTGGGAGTGCAGTTAACAACAGAGATATGTCCATCAGTCAGCAGCTCTTTACTGAACACATATTAGACCAGAGGTAGGATTCCAAGGGCAGAGGATGTGTGTGTGTGTGTGTGTGTGCTCAGTCATGTCTGACTCTTTGCAACCCTGGGGAGGGAGAGGGCTGCTCAGAGTGCTCCTGAGAAGTCTATAAGGTGAGTTGTCAATAAGCAACACCAACTCGTTTAGCCATCCCTGTATTTAATTGTAGTATATGTCTGCAAAAGGAGGCAGATGTAGAATGAAAAACTGAATGTGGAATTAAACAATGGAGAAGAGAGATCCAAACCAAATAAAATCTCCATTCCAATTTCCTATGATATGCAATCTGTTGTCATGGGATAGCAAGACAAAGGGAAATGACTGCTGGCACGCATGTGGGTTTAACGAGGAACATTAGTGGAACATACCTTATCTGTCTTCCCAGTGTGGAAAAATCTGTATAAGAGAAGGAAGTCCTTAAAATAGTATCGGCTGACCATCATCCCGACAAAAAAGGGGAAATCTGAGGTGGGTGAATCTCAGATATACAAACCAATCCTACAAACCAATCCTAGTGTGTTTCTTTAAAAGAAAGAAAGAGAAAGCTCTTAGAAAAGGGGAAAGGACTTCCGTGGTTCCTCTGTATATTTTTAGAAGAATGGCATCACTTTGCAGACTTGAATCTAGACTTATAAACCACTTTCCTCAGTGTTTCCACTACATCTTTTCAGTTTGGCTACTCTTCAGAAACGAACATTTCTAACTCTTATTGGTCGTTTCTTAGCTTCAGCTAATGAAATCGGTGGCTTTTTAAGGAACTTTGTCTGGTGGGAAAAGCATATTTATTTGTAAGGTGACAAGAAATGGATAATAAGATAGATCCATTTCTTCTAACACGATAATATTCCTTTAATCCAAGCCAGTGCTATGACTCATCTGCCTGTCTCCTCTTGTGGGATGGAAAGGGAGCCGTCTGCAACCTCCGGCAGGCAGCCTGGAGGAGTGAGGGAGGGAGGTTCCTCTCCAAAGCTAGGGCTGCTGTTCTGCTTCAAAAATTCACAGAGTTCTGGAACTGCCATTTCTTTGGGCTGAAGTGGCTCTTGGTACTTTGGAACCAGATCTCGCCTGGGACAGCTTCATTTTTAATAACTCGTCTCGAGGTAGTCGCTGGCACCAAGGAAGCTTCTGCCCAGAGCCAAGGTGACCTCCATAGGGCTCTCAGCAAGCTGGACCAGTGGGGTTTGAGCTTGCTTCCTATCCATCTGGCAGAACAAGATGCTGGAAGACAGCCTTGAAAGAGGGGGATTTTCCTTTTTTTTCCCTGGCTAACAAAATAATTTTTATTGTTACCCATCCTACCTTGCCTTATTTCAAAAGCAATGCACATCACTGTAGAAAAAAATGGGAAAAACTTACAAGCAAAAGATTTTAAAATCCATTCATAAGTCCACCAGTGGCAGTAACTATTAGCATATCTTTTGAAAAATTTCCTTCTTTGTGTGTATAGCAGTCTGCTTTTGTAACATGCTTTTTCCTTTAAACAGTGTTGAACATCACTCCATCTGACAATATGATTTTTAAAAGCTGCACAATATTCTTTTATATGGGTATACCATAGGTATTTAAGCATCCTCTATTGTTGGGCATACAGGTTGTTTCCAATTTTCTGCTAAAATAGCATCAGTGAATATCTTCATGTTGAAATCTTTGCACATGTCTTTAATCAGTGTCTATCAACCTTCAGCAGCCTCCATTGTTCTTAGGAGGAAAAAACAAGACAGAAAATTATAGCTAACAAAATAATAGCTGTATCTATCATGAAACATTAAGGTTATCAAGAATTTTAATGAGCACAATCCATCTTGGCAGAGGATTGGGTTAGTTGAGTTCATTCTTGAATTTATCAAGCATTGATTGAGCCCAGAGGGCATTTTTATGGGTTGAGGTGAAGAATAGAAAACATCCTTCTGCATTTTTTGGTGGGCACTGTGTCCTCTGCACAGGCCCATCCATGTCCAGACACCTGTGGGGAGTCAGGGGTGGAAGAGGCTGGTCATTTGGGCATTAGGCTGTTCTCTCAGGCTTTTAGTTCTGCCCTCATGAGCTGCCTACCGGACAGCTTCCTGAGCAGCTAATGCAATGATAGTGACTCTAAAACACAGATTCAGAGGGAGAGGGAAGTTGGAAAAGAGGAAAGAGAAAGAGAGATAAAGAGGAAAACTCCATGGCCCCAATCTCTGTTGTGTTTTGGCTCGGCTTCCTATGGGGCTGCTTGTAAGCCTTTTAAACAGCAGGACCAGGATCATAGGTTCGGCCCCACTGGGAGTCCACCTGATTACTACATATGGTATCTTGGGCCCCCTGTGGCATTCTGTCTTGGGGCTGCAGGATGTGAGGGTGCTGTATTGGAGCTGTTCTTATAACCATCCGCAAGGCTTGTATATGGGCACCCTAATTGACTGATTTTGCTGTGCTGTATGTCTTCCCATCTTCCTGGATCTTTCCTGGTGAAGAAAGGGTCAATTTATTCCTACTGGGGAGAAGGTTGGGCTCAAGACCCATGAAACTCAAGCAGCAACTAGAATCCTTCCAGTTTAGGAAGATAAGAGTGTACCCAAAGACTGTATAGGGGCAATGTTGCCCCAGTTTTCTAAAGTAAGAAAGGAGTAGATTTCAGGAATCACAGATCCATAACAGGCCTTTTTGGCCACTCTTTAGAAAAAGTCTGGAACAAGTAGGTTTATACGTGTTTAAAGAAGAAAGTGGTAATCACCAGCAGCCAACATGGGTTCATTATGATGTCCCATTAAGATAACCATGTTAACTTTCTTTAAACAGTATCATTAGGTGAATCAAGATAATTTTATTTAACTTAGAAGCAGCAAGTATTAGTTAAGCACTCTGTGCTTGAAGTGAAGAGAGCTGACTGCCATGGATGTTATACGTTGTGATATAAGTAAAGAATTTGATGAAGTCTTGCATAATTCCTTGGCTGTTAGGTGGATCTAGAACTGGTTGAGCAGCACTACCCAGTGAGGCTTGATTCATAGTTCTGAGTTAACTTGAAGGGAGATCTCCGGTGGAGTGACACAGAGCTCTGTCCTTGTTTCTGGTCTACTCTATTCTTCTTTTTCTTCCTCCTCCTCCTCTTCTTTTTAATCCAGCGCTTTGGAGGATGAATTTGGTTGTGCTTATCAAATGTGTGGTTACCCTGCTAAGACAGGTCAGGAAAGACTTGAAATCACATAGTAAAAAAGTACATGGGTCTTGATAGTCCATAGACTCCACATGAGTCAGCAGTGGAATGACTGCTGCATTGCTACAAGAAGGGCGGGATTAGTCCTCTGTTTCTGAGCTGGTGTTAGGGTCACCATGGGTCTTGTGAACATCACGTACCACATCCCAGGGAGCTCCCAGAAGTAGGGATACCAGAACAGTGAGGGAGGTTTGGGAAATATTCTGTATAAGGCAGTTTGAATGTCAGGCTTGGGAAAGAAAGAAAACAAGACATAACAGGATGGATGTCCTCAGATGTGTGAAGACCTAGATGCTAGGCCGATAGAGAACTAGAGATCAGTGTTATAAGTTATATACTGTTATAAGTTATACACAGTGTTATAAGTTATACACTGATCTATAACACTATGGATCAGTGTTATAAGAAAGTAGAATTTGTATTTAGGGCCATTCCTGGCCTGCTTGTCCTCAGATCCATCCTTGAACTTTCTCTGCTCTGTATGGAGGAAGAGCTGACCGTTGTGGGCTGCATTTGCCATCCTGTGATGTGAGCTAGTTGCTAGCTGGATCTACCAATGGGAAGCACTGGCAGAAGACTGGAGAACAGGGCAAGAAAGAACTGGGATATTCTCTCCAGCCCTCCTTCCCTCAGTCCTGTGACCATTGCTGTATCTCCTCCGTGGCTCCAGCTCCCACTAATAGACCCACTGTAGTTCCAGCTTCCATCAGGTGACCATGGCCTCTGGATTCCAGTAATAGCACCTTCTCTCTTTTTTCCCTCCAGCCCAGGATGGCAGTGGCTTCCTGCTGTTGCTAATATCTAGGCTTCCTTGGGGTTCCCCCGGGTGGTGCTAGTGATAAAGAATCCATCTGCCAAGCAAAAGACACAAGAGATGTGGGTTTAATCCCTAGGTGGTAAAGATCCCCTGGAATAGGAAATGGCAATCTGCTCTTCCCTGGACAATCTTATGGACAAAGGAGGCTGGTGGGCTATAGTCTATGGGGTCACAAAGAGTCGGACATGACTGAGCACAAACACTACAGGCTGCCATACTGCAGTCTGGCTTCTCAGCTCTTCCATCCTCCTGTAACTGGTCCCCTGCATTATTCTTTTAGAAATTATATATTTTCAGAGTTGGGATTAGAACTCAAGGCTCCTGACCTGAGATCAGCACTCTTTTCATTTCATGTTGGCTCTCTCCTCCTATATAGATTTTTATTAACCATCCACCCATGGTTTCTATTAGTCACTCTTTTGATCTATGGGAGGGAAAATTGAGTCTCCTAAATCTTTTTTTTTTTTTAATTCTCGTGATTATGTGACAACCTAGTTCAATAACACTTACTCGCTAATTATTTTACAGAACAAATACTGCTCGCCAAGTGTTGAGTGGAACCTTTTTTTCCTCCCTTCAAAGCATTTTGTACTTAGAAAAGCTAAATGCACATTCCAATCTGGAAGATTCCATTTATATAAGTCTCTGATTTCATAATGTCTATGTTGAATTGAGGGCTGTAGAAAAGGAAAGGAATGCTCAAGGCCACCTAGTCTAATCCCGTCACTAGATGTAAAGAAACAGGTTCAGAAAGCTGGAGTGGCTTTCCCAACTTTAGGGGCAGAGTGGGGCAAGAACCCAGGTCTCAGTTCAAGGTTCTGAGTTTAAGATGCTTATACTTGAACTTGTTGTTCATGCTTGTTTATGCTTGTTTATGGGCTGTTTACTGTCATTCACTGCATCCAGTTTTCAATCTGCTTCTGCCTTCAGTTCCCAAATCTCTTCCCAGTGCTGTCTTTCCCTTCTTTTCAACTCCTGCTTACCAGGATTTCAGTAGCCCATCTCCACTTGGAATAGAATTATCAAAGTAGGAGTTGACTAAGCCCTTTTAAAAATTTCTTTATTTCATCAACAACTGCCTTCGGGTCCTTCCCCTTTCCTTCTTTCTCCTCCACTCCCCTTCTTTCCTGGATTCTCAAATTTTCCATTCTTCTCTCCACTCTAGCCAACATTTTTCCTTCCCACCAAGTCTTCTCTTGGCATGGCCCTTTAATTGGTCTCTCCCTTTTGTGTCCAGTCATCCCAGTTGAAGCCATGAACACTTCTAAGAGAGGAATCTTTCAAGCCCTGGATCTGATTCCTGGTTGCCATAAACCTTTGATCATTCTCTGAGGAAAGCCATAAATTAATGTCATTCCTTGGCAGGCCCCCTGAGCCTATCCCAGATCACTTCCCTGGCCTCTCAGTTTTGGATGTGATCATCTTAACACCTCAAACACTATAGCATAGATGGGAAATCCTCCCCTAGCCAAGAATGTAATATTTATTCTAGGTCAAACTATTAACATGTATCATCCCATGGGAATTTCCATTGTTTTAACAACTTTCTCTTTTGGCTGTCAGTATCAATCTTAGCTGGTTTTTAGATCTTTCCAAATTTATGTTATCTGGACGTTCATGAGTGATTAGATTTACTGAAGCTCTTTCAGGATAACATCATTACAATATAATATTTGAGTCACTGTGACCCTGTTCAAATGAACTAATCCTACCCCCAAACAGACACGTTGACAACATATTTCCAGTTGGCTTAATTATATTCTTCTATCCTTCCAAATTTTGTGTTACTTCCTTCCAACATGGATTTTGTCAAGTCACATACTTATCAAGAATCCAGGAACTCACTTTACCCTGCACATTCCTATAATTCATACTTCAATTTCTCTTGATGAAGTTGATAAGTCCAAGGATCAAATATTGGATTTCTGTCCCAGGAAGCAAGCGCAGGGGACACCCATCTCCTTCCTTGGTCCAGGTGATACTGCTTTAAGAGTTAGCAGGAACAGGAAGTGGTCCAGAGAAAAGAGGCAGCCTTGGACACCAGAATCCTAACCCCATCGTGCTCTCCTCTCCTAGGGAGGATTGGATGGTGGGTCAGAGCAGCACTAACTCTCAGTTCCAGAAACCACATCTTTCCAAGATCTCCACAGTTACCTAAGGTGCCAACAGCCTCCCAGTTCCCCACGTTTGTCTTCAAATTCGTTCTGTGATTTTTTTTTTTTCGGTCTTACTTCCACTTTGGTGTTCACAGTTCTATCAAATTCTAATGTTATTTCTTCCACAAATCTCTTGATTTTATTCTTTCATTTCCAAATCCACAGTCTCCCTCCTCCCAGCTCTTTACCTGTGTCTTGAATGCTGCAACAACACACTGCCTTGCGCAAATAAATCCCCCTGTACCCAAGCCAGAGCTCAGGCTCCCTCAACCATCACTCTTTTTCATCTGAGAGCTTGTGTCTTCACCATCCTGCTCTGCTCCCTATGCCCAGGACAGCCTTGACTATGTGTCAAAACAAAGAACTTGCCAGAGTAACAGCAATGATGGTTTGTCCCAGTGCACCCCCTTTCAGTCTCTTTCTGCTTCCTGCCTTAATTTCTCTGACTCTCTACTTGCTGATGTGTTGGCCCCTTTTCCTTCTTCCCCTGGCAGAAGGCCTGCCTCCTTCTGGCCAGCCGGGATGCCTTGCTCTGACAGCTGGAGGTTTTGACTCTCTGGCTTGGTCTTAGGCCCTTGTCCCTAGAATTGCCCTCATGGGAACTTTGGGCCAGCAATCCCTGGTGTTCCTGGAACCCACATCTTCTTGGCTTTGCTTCTGGACCACTAAGTATTGGGTAATTTCTGGCATGTCAGAGTGAAGACACCTGGATTTTTGTCATGAACTTGATGTGTGAGTTTAAATAAGTCAGGGGTGCCTGCCTCAGCCCTCTTCAGATGCCAGTTCTGAGGACCTTCAGCTTGCCATCTTGCATGCCTTGAACATATCCACCACTTCCCTGCTAATGCCCGAACCTGTCCTGACCAAGCCCCTTTCTCCCGCCACAAGATGAGGAGGGGGATAAAGCTTGTCTGTAACTCGGCACTCAGCATACCCTGGGTCTCTGCATATTCACTGACCTACAGTTTCTCCTTTGGCTCTGTCCCCCAGACCATGTAAACAGTGTGCTTGGGTCTTACCTCAGTGTAAGAGGTAAGAGGTAAATGGTTTGATGTTAAAACTCCAACTAAAACTCTTATTTTATCTACTTAAAAAAAAATCATTGTAATATACAGTGGAAGTATATGTAACCTTGTTCTGAATTTTCCAAGTCTCCTGTAAATGTGTTATCATAGTTTCATAATATAAAAAATTAAAAGAAAAAAAGATAAAGTATACCTTCCCACAGAAGCCCCTCCCCACTGCCTGGTCGTTCTAATAGCCCTTCTTGTGCACCATTGTCTCATTCTTGGGGTGTTGGGGTACTGTGTTCAGTATTCCAAGAGCTAGTGCGCTGAGATTTGTACTTCTGTTTTGTTTCCGATCCAAATTGATTATTTTTTTCAGTTTTCATCCAGATGTTTGATATCATGTAAACACAGCTTGAAAGTGTTCCTGAACTGCTTACAGATGTACACCAGTGAAATCCTTTCCAAATTATATATAATGATGCTCTATTTATATCTGTGCCATAGTCTCTGGCTTGAGTTTTAACTATAAGACTAAATTGGAAAAAAAGTGAAAAACTCACATATGTGGATGATTTGTCTACTTGATTAAAGACTCCAGATATTTGGACATATTCAGGAATTGACATTGCTTCCCACTGAATGCAGGCGTATCTGTAGCCATGGTATTCTGAACTGAATGTTTGTGCTCCCATTCATATGTGGAAGCCCGAAATGGCAATGTGAAGGTATTTGGAGATGAGTTCTTTGGGAGGTGACTAGGGTTAGATGAGGTTATGAAGGTGGGGCCCTTATAATGGGATTAGTGTCTTTATAGGAAGAGATAGAAGTGGACTCTCTCTGTCCATGAGCTCACACAAAGAAAGGGTCATATGAACACACAGTGAGAAGGTACTGTGCTGGGCTGTGCTTCGTTGCTCAGTCGTGATCCCATGGACTGTCCCCCGCCAGGCTGCTCTGTCCATGGGGGTTCTCCAGGCAAGAATACTGGACTGGGTTGCCATGCCCTCCTCCAGGGGATCTTCCCAACCGAGGGATCGAACCCAGGTCTCCCACACTGCAGGTGGATTCTTTACTATCTGAGCCACCAGGGAAGCCCAAGAATACTGGAGTGGGTAGCCTGTCCCTTCTCCAGGGGAACTTCCTGACCTAGGAATTGAACTGGGGTCTTCTTCATTGCAGAAGGATTCTTTACCAGCTGAGCTACCAGGGAAGTGAGAAGGTGGCCACCTGCAATTCAAGAGAAAACCTCTCATCAGAACCTGACCATGCTGGCACTTTGATCTCAGACTTCTAGCTTCCAGACTGTGAGTAAATAGCATTTCTTTTGTTTAAGCACCCAGTCTATGGTATCTTGTTGTGGAGACTGAGCAGAATAATATACATGGGGACTAAGAATATGTTGCTTCATTCAGTGTATGTTCACTGTGTCTCTCGAACCTGCTGTATATAAGCCAAGACCTTCTTCCTTGATGTTTGACATCAGAAGGACACCCTGTAAGCCCTTTAGATCTACTTAATTCTCCTCAAGGCTTAGTTGCAGATACAGTATTTATGGGTGATTGCATAAAAGGTATTATAGCAGATTGTATTATCCAAAGATGTTACAGTCTGGCCAAATCTCTGGCCCATAAAATTGTAAGGAAAATAAAATGGTAGTTGTAAGTCACTAAATTTGGGGGTAATTTGTTATACATCTGTAGTAACTGTAAGAGATATACATTTCATTGATTCCTGTCAGTAAAATCCCACCCCTGAATCAAGCCCAACCAACAGAAAGCCTACCTTGGTTGGATTGTTTTTGAGTAGCCCTCAGGTGTGGTGCCCTGGTTTGTACCAACAGACAGGATCAGAGGCAGCTGCTCTGTGAAGATACTGTTGAGGTGGGATCGAGGTCACTTAGAGCTTAGTGCAGGAAAGGTTGTGTTTCTTGGGAGAAGTTGGTATCTTACAGACACTGTGAATCTTATTTTTGCTCACCTTTTCCTCTTTGCTTTAGCTTCTCGGAAGCTCAGGACTAATTCTGTGACCAACCTGTAACAATCTTATTTCTTTGTATCCTTCTGTATCTATTTTTGTAAGCCCCTTAAAAATACTTTTGGAACAAGTGTTTTGATGCAGTTGGGCCATAAATGAATTAATGCAAGAATGAATGTCCCTCAAATCACCTTAGAATTTGAGAGTGTTATTAGATTGAGCTAGTTCCAACATAAAGCTTTATTATGACTTTATTAGAAACCAAACATATCTTGTGTGCGTGCATGCTAAGTCACTTCAGTTGTCCGAGTCTTTGTGATCCCATGAATTGTAGCCCCCTAGGCTCCTCTGACCATGGAATTCTCCAGGCAAGAATACTGGCATGGGTTCCCATGCCCTCCTCCAGGAGATCTTCCTGGCCCAGGTACTGAACCTGTATCTCTCATGTCTCTTGAATTGGCTGGCAGGTGACTAGCACTACCTGGGAAGCCCACAAAATTGTAAGCAAAATAAAATGGTAAGATAAAACATATCTTACATTATCTAAAACAAAACTACAAGAAACTAAAAGGACCATCTAGACTGGAAGTTGAAAGAAATAATAATCCACTGCAAAGTAATATAACATCATTTAGTAAGTTAAACAATGAGGCATTTCAACAGGAAAAGTGTGTTTATTGAGCACCCATTAGCTTGCGGGCATTTTCTAGATCCTCTGTGTATAAATTGCATTTCAGTTCAGTTCAGTCACTCAGTTGTGTCTGACTCTTTGCGACCCCATGGAGTGTAGCACGCCAGGTTTCCCTGTCCATCACCAACTCCCGAAGCTTGCTCAAACTCATGTCCATTGAGTCGGTGATGCCATCCAACCATCTCATTCTCTGTCGTCCTCTTCTCCTGCCTTCAATCTTTCCCAGCATCACGGTCTTTTTCAATGAGTCAGTTCTTTGCATCAGGTGGCTGAAGTATTGGACCAAAGTAATGGATTAAATTGCATTTAGTCATGTTTCATCCAGATGGCCCCATGGACGTAAAGTTACCTTAGGTTCAAATGAAAAACTGATTGCTGCTGCTGCTGCTGCTAAGTTGCTTCAGTCACGTCCGACTCTGTGTGACCCTATAGACGGCAGCCCACCAGACTCCCCCGTCCCTGGGATTCTCCAGGCAAGAACACTGGAGTGGGAAAAAACTGATTAGAGAGGTTGAAAAGCTTGTCCTGGTCACACAGCTAAATGGGAGAGCTAAGCTTCGTACTCCATGCCCTTTCCGGTTACGGTGGGAACTGATAACCACCCTGAGGTACACAAAGGTTAGAGTACTTCTCCAGGCATAGGTCAAATCCTCTTCAAGTGCAGATGAATCTCTTTGGGAATGGGGTTTTGCTGCAACTAGTCCTGCTGGAGGAAGGAACCAGTGGCCTGGGGTGCAGCAAGAGGGGATGGATAGGAAGCAGAGACATGCCCCCAGGGGACAGCCTCTTACACAATCCTCACTTTGTGAGCTTTTCTTTTCCCCCTTCCATATTATCACCACCACTCCCCACCCTCCTCAGAAGAATATCATTGCTTCTTCAAAGAGACTCCTGAAAAACTCAGATGTTGGCCACCACTGTGGGTGAGGTTTCTGCTTGTTTCTGGGCACTGGCACATAGAGAGGCGTTTGCCTTTTCTCTTCACATCTGGATGGAAGGGGCTTCCCTGGTGGTTCAAAAGATAAAGAATCTGCCTGCAATGCAGGAGACCTGAGTTTGACTCCTGGGTCAGAAAGATCCCCTGGAGAAGGAAATAGCAACCTACTCCACTATTCTTTGGAGAAGGAAATGGCAATCCATTCTAGTATTCTTACCTGGAGAATTACATGGACAGAGAAGGCTGGCAGGCTACAGTTCATGGGATCGCAAAGAGTCAGACATGACTAAGCAAGTAACACACACCAGTATTCTTGCCTGAAGAATTCCATGGACAGAAGAACCTGGCGAGCTACAGTCCATGGGGTCACAAAGAGTTGGACATGATTGAGCGACTTAACACTTTGAATTTCGTGGACAGAAACTGGAAAAAGGTGTTCTTGGTACTGACATAATTCCTTCCAATGGATTCAGCCAGTAGATCAGGCAAGCATCATGACCATGGGCTTCTAGGCAGTGCCTGGACATTCTTGCATTTCATGTCAAGAAGGGTTCGGTAATGATCCCCTGCTGGCTGCGTCCTCTGCCAGGCAGTGATTTTAAGCACCAGAGAGAAGAAACCCAGACCTGTGGGCAAGAACTCTATCCAAGCCCTGACTGCATGCTGTCATTTATCTGGATGATGCTCCTGGAACTATGACCTAAATTCTCAAATCTCTCTAATGGCTTGCCTGCATAAATGGACTTTTAGCTGCTATTAGAGTTAGCCTTCTAAGTAGTCATGAGGTGATTTAAGGGGTGTGGTTTGGGTAAGCCAAACAGCTCCACACCTTCTCTCCTGCTGGGCATGTGCCTGAAGTCCCACCATCAGGGATTCAGATCACAGAACCAAGAGGAAGCTTTTAGTGTACAAGAGCCTCTTAACAAAAACATCCCTAGATGGATATTTGGAGCAGATCCAGGGGAGTCCCAGGCTGAACTGCTGCCTTCTCTACGCTCAGCCCCTTCTCCCTGTTCCAGCAGCTAGTACCTTCATTAGGCCATATGTACTCAGTCCTGGTTGGTTCTGGAGCCAATTCAGTATGTTAGTTAGTGTCTTTCACCTACCAGCAGATGGGGTTTGGCAGTTGACTCACTCACTCACTCATTCACACAGTTTTTGTTGAGCAGCTCCATGCTCAGGTGCTAGACATTTGGCTGGACTCTGAGGATACTGGCAGGAACATAGTCCTGGCCATCATGGGGTGTACATTATGCCGGAGGAGGCAGACAGGTTCACTAATAAATATGCCATGGGTCAGATGGTGATGAGCACTGTGAAGAAAATAAGGGGCTGGATGTGCGATATTTCACATGCAAAGTTCTCTTGGATGAAGTGACAGTGGGACAGAAGCTGTGTGCAGTGAGCCAACAAGTGAGCCAGTGACATGGGGAAGGGTGTTCCAGGCAGAGGGGCACAGTGTGTGCTGGAGGACCCCCCAGGGACCTGGGGGAGCTGGGAGAGGCATGGGGAGGGAGTCAACGAGGAGGACAGAGTGGGAGGCGGGCAGGAGTGGTCACTCCACATTCCCAGTCTGAGTGCCTGGAAAGCTTGAAGCAAACCCTGGTAGACAGCACCGGCCAAGACATGGCGTCTCTCCCAGAGAGCCAGGGACCTGCATCCCAAGCCGCAGCTTATCTGAGCGACACCCTGGAAACTGCCTGCCAATTCCCCTGGAGCTGTAACCCTACCCGTCGCTCTGCATCAGCAAGGACCATCCCTCTGCTGGCTCCTGTAGCCTCCCCCGCCCCCCACTGTGGCCCCTGTAACCTTCCCTTGGTCATCCCCATCCCCCACCCCTGACATCAGGGTGAGAGCAGGCACCTTGCAGGTTGGTTCTCCTTAGCTCTAGCTCAGCCACTTACTGGCTTCCGTGCTACCCACTGTGTGCCAGGCCAGTCCTCCCACCACATTCCTGGGGCTGGCTTGTTTGCACAGAATCACTGCTCAGAGCTATAAGATGCTTTGTGGACAAACACCTTCCACCTTGTGATTTTGTCCAGGGCTCACCCTGGGCAAGCCCTTTCCTGCCCTTGGGAAATCTATTTAGTACTTGGTGTGTGCTAGGCACTGTGCTTTACATGTGTCAAGATTGTCAAGATTTTCGAGTAAGATAGATATTACTAAATTTTATCCCTATTTTACAGGTGAGAAAATGGAGGCTCAGGAAGGCTAAAGCGTTTGCTGAAGATCATACACAGCTGGTGAGTGAAATTTCGGTTGAAACCAAATCTGTCTTTCCCCAGAGCCCCTCCCATAAAAATGAAAAGAGTTGAATGTATTCAGAAAGAGGTTTTGAACTGAGAATTGTAACAGGGACAGCCCTGCAGCTCCAGCATGGAGGAACTGATCTGTGCATCTTGCCTGGGTTGTTCACCCAGCAGGAATGAAGATCCTGGAAATTGTCCTGCCATTCCTCACCAGTGATAGCTCTGCTACGCCAGCATCCCAAACCATGCTGCTCCTCTGGCCCAGAGCTCCCTGATTGCAAGTGAAAAATGCCTGCATTTATAGTACTTCCCCTGATGCATAAATGTTCTTTTTTCTGGCCCGCATGCCTGGCCTCTTACATCAAACGTTCG